AGCTCTCAAAGATGTCTGCAACCATACTCGACTTTAACTCCAGCAACAGTCGATCTCTTGGAAAGATCCGAGTTAAGTGTTAGATCGAAAAATTAAAGATGAAAGTGACTTGTTATGTCATCAATGTCGAAACACCTTACAATCTCCTTCTTGGACGACCTTGAATCCACTCCAGCCAGATCGTCCCTTCAACACTTCATCAGTGTTTCAAATACATTGATGAATAGGGAGTCTAATAGAGAGTTGATGCTGAAAAGCATCCTTTCAAAGGGGTGGAGAACTACTTCACTAACTCTCTCTTGTATGATAAAAGTCAAACAATTGAGATTTCCCCTCCAAAAGATGAGGATAGTGATAATGAAGCAGATGTTGAGCTAGATCCCATTGATGATCCGGTCTAGAAGATAGATCCACTTGTAATTACCCTAAAGGACCTTTGTATTGACCAATCTGTCGAAAGTCAAGGCGATTGGATCTTCAATAAAGAAGAGTTTGCTTATGACTGCTCTTTAGACTCTGGGTTTGAAAACTCAAGAGTTGAAAATCTGATGGCCAGGTTAGCCTTAGAACCAACATTGTGCATGCCAATAAACGAGTCATATCATGCTCACAAGCAGCTCGACAACTCCGAGGATGCCACCTTCATGGTTCTGCCTAGAGGGAACACTTTGAACCTAATCATCTTCAAAAAAGTTGAGTCACAATCTCACTTACAGAGCTCTGATGAAGAAGCTAAGGTAGTGCTAGAATTTTCCTAGTATAGTCGATAATCTTAACAAATCATGGCAAAAATAGGATTCAGTCTCACTACAAAACAAGGGTTGAATTTTAATAGAGGACTACGAGCCCTTTTGATCCCCTTTACACCCGAAGGAGAAGTTTTTGATTATTACAATCGGACCAAACGAGGACTCGGTTGCATCTCTCCAGAAGCCGAGCCACAAGCAGGACCAGCATCTGATGACTCCCTAAACAGTTCTTTCGGACATGTCCAACTGGGATTTTGACCTTAACCTTGGAGTCTTGTGTAGTGAATTCATGACCAACATGATCTCATATAACCTAACCATGAATCTCGATGAATCTGAGATGTTTGAAGATTCTGAAGATGATTCATGGGTGAAGCAACTTGAAAAGCAATGGGAGTCGCGTTTTAAAACCAGAGAACCACCCACCAAAGATAAAGTGGTCCAAATCAACATTGGTGACAAAACCAACCTAAATCCCATCTTTATCAGCGAAAGTCTATCATCAGTTGAAAAGGAAAAACTCATAGTTCCCCTCCAAAAATACATTGATGTCTTTGCCTTGAGCTATGAAGACATGCCGAGTCTAGACCCCAGTGTGACCAAACATCGTCTTAACATCAACCCTAGCGTTAAGCTGGTCAACTAGCAGTAACGATACTTCCGTCCTAAATTGATGAAACTAATCGAAAAGGAAATCTGCAAGCTCATTGAGTATGGGTTTATCCGTGAAGAACAACATCTCGGTTGGTTAGCCAACATCGTGGTGGTGATGAAAAAGAGTGGTAAGATCTGAATCTGCATCAACTTCTGTGATCTCAACCTCGCTTATCCAAAAGATGAGTTCCCATTCCCTATCACGGACGTTATGGTCAGTAATACGTGTGGATTTGAGAGGATGCCTTTCATGGATGGTTTCTCTAGATACAACCAAATAAAAATGCATCCAGATGATCAAAAGAACACAACCTTCAGAACACCTGTAGGAGTATACTGTTATATAATAATGCCCTTCAGTCTAAAGAACGCTGGAGCTACTTACCAACACGTCATGAACATGATCTTTCATGGATATCTGTGTAAAATAGTAGAGTGCTATGACGATGACCTCGCGATCAAAAGTCATCACAAACAAGACCACGTTGGTGATCTAAGAACAGTGTTTGAAGTCATGCGAAAACACCAACTCAATATGAATCCAACCAAGTCCTTCCTAGGGGTATGTTGATGCTCAAATCACACAGAATAATCCAGAATATGATGGTTACAGAGTAATGAAAGATGATGGAGGGGACCGCTTCCTTCCTTGACTTCATGTTTTGGCCACTGAGTTAGAGTGAATGATCTGCACAGAAGAAGGTCGTGAGAGGGCATGGCGGTGATTCCCCCATGGTACCTCCAACGATCAAGTCAGTTGACGAACTTGAGATTGAGTGGAGTAATAGAACTATGTGTTCTTATGCTATTTGCATTAGAGATGATGATCTCTGAGATTTAGATCAGGGGAAGAGTTTAGATTGTGAACCTTTGGCTATGGCGAATAGCATCTGTATATAAAGAGGATGTCAATAGCAGATTGGTCCTTTCGACTATGCAAAATGGCGGTGACAAAGTGTGAGCTGGAAGGTGAGTCATCCTTTGCTTTACATGTGTCAGCTGGCGACAGGAGGAAGATCACTTCGGCTTCATTTTGAGGAGCGATCGATGGGACATTGGCTGCTAAGTGGTGTGATGACGCATGGTCTTTGAGTGGACATGATATGACTTATTGTCAGGATGGATAAGCTTTGGCGAAGTTATCTTTTAGCCTCACTGAGAATCAATGTCCCTCATGATGAGACTCGTGAGGAGAGTCAACTCGAGGAGAGGAGTAACGACTCGAGGAGTTCTGGCTGAATGGAGTCAGGTGACGACTCGAGGAGCACTGGCTGAATGGAGTCAAGTGATGACTCGCCCTGCCTTTCAAGTCGACATGGAGGAGTAATGACTCGACTGGGTCGACTAGGCTCTTGGCGAGTTTCCTGCTATGAGAGGGCCGACTGGTACCGCCTTTTGTGTCGACATTGATGAATGTCGACTCGTCTGGTCAGCTGAGTCAGACTGCTAGCTGATCTCTAGCTATCTCTCCCATCAGTCGAGATATCGACTCGTCTGGGAGGTCAGGATGCCTCATGCTGATTAGCACCACTTCTCGTGTCGATACTGAGGTGTCGGCTTGTTTGGCTAGATAGAGATGGCGACTCATCAAATCATATATTTAGAAACAGTTGTACCCCATAATAGTTGGCCCCTTTCATTTGGAGTTGTCTTTAGCCGAGTCCAAGTGAAATGAATAAAACTCTGGACTGAAGTTAGGGCTGATGATTGTTTTGTAGAATTACTCTAATCGAGCGAACCAAGTGGTAATTCTTGAGTTGGCAGTGTTGTGTCGACCCGAATATTGCGAGTCGGCTTGACAACTAGCTCATATTGCACCTATTGTGGGCAAGATGCTCGGGTCTTGTGTTGATGAAGACTGGCAAGTTGAAGTGCTTTAAGTCTTTTTATCAAAGATAACCGATCAATTGAAATCCATGCCTTGGGTTTATTCATAATGATACCAAGGTCTTAATGGTACAATGATAATTCTGAGGCTAGGACTCATATTGGACCTAAGTCTTCATAATCCTAGTATGGCCGAGAGGTGACTGTGGGAGTTGACCATAGAGTTATGCCTTGGACTTACCCTGATAAGGAACCAAGGTCTTGACCATGATGATCGATGAGAGCTAGAGAAATCGACCATATATTGTGCCTTAGGCTTATCCTGATAAAGAGCCAAGGGCTTTTGACACGCCAGCCTGGAGGTTGGGTCGCCTAGGACTTATTTTGGTGCCTAGGGCTTCACCATGATGGTTGATGAGAATTAGAGGATCCAACCACATGTTGTGCCTTGGGCTTACCCTGATAAAGAGCCAAAGACTTGGAATCCGACTGAGGAGTCGAATGTCTAGAACTGTAAGAAGAGTTGACTAGGGCTTCCCCTCCCCTATGACCGAGAGATGACAGTGAGAGTCGGCAAAAGAGTTATGCCTTGGGTTTATTCCTGATAAGGAACCAAGAGCTTGCTCTTGAATGTCTAAGGCGCGGCTGAAGAGGACTCTGTAGCCCTAGCTGCCACCTTATAGGCTCCGGCATCTTCCATGTCCATGTATCCATGGGCTCTGGCCATCAATTGCTCATAATTAGCGACTAACTTTTTAGTTAAAGAGTTGGCCAATGCATTACTCTGTAGGCCTGCTACGAGTGCTGACATGGCGACTGCGCTTCAAGGGTCATTGACTTCCAACCTCTTAGCTTGTAATCTCTTAAAGTAGGTCCGGAGGCTCTCTTCTGGTCCCTGCCTCATTTGGATCAGTACATGAGGGGGAAGCTCCCGCTTGACGTCAGCTAGAAAATGGTGGATGAACTTTCGGCTAAGTTGTTAAAAGTTTCTGATTGATCTCTTCTCAAGAGTGTTCCTCCAGAGCTTAGCACTCTCTGAAAGAGTGATAGGAAAGCATCGACAGAGGATTGCTTCTGATGCTTGGAGCATACTCATCACATCATAGCCAGCCTGGAGGTTGGGTCGCCTAGGACTTATTTTGGTGCCTAGGGCTTCACCATGATGGTTGATGAGAATTAGAGGATCCAACCACATGTTGTGCCTTGGGCTTACCCTGATAAAGAGCCAAAGACTTGGAATCCGACTGAGGAGTCGAATGTCTAGAACTGTAAGAAGAGTTGACTAGGGCTTCCCCTCCCCTATGACCGAGAGATGACAGTGAGAGTCGGCAAAAGAGTTATGCCTTGGGTTTATTCCTGATAAGGAACCAAGAGCTTGCTCTTGAATGTCTAAGGCGCGGCTGAAGAGGACTCTGTAGCCCTAGCTGCCACCTTATAGGCTCCGGCATCTTCCATGTCCATGTATCCATGGGCTCTGGCCATCAATTGCTTATAATTGACGACTAGCTTCTTAGCCGAAGAGTCGGCCAATGCATTGCTCTGCAGGACGGCTACGAGTGCTGACATGGTGACCGCACTCCCTAGATCGTCGACTTCCAACCTCTTAGCTTGGAATCTTTTGAAGTAGGCCTGGAGGCTCTCTTCTGGTCCCTGCCTCATTTGGATCAGCACATGAGGGGGGGGGGGGCACATTGGGGGGGGGGGAGCTTCTGCTTGGCGTCAGCTAGGAAATGATGGATAAACTTTTGGCTAAGTTATCGAAAGTTTCCGATGGATCTCTTCTCGAGAGTGTTCTACCAGAGCTTAGCACTCCCTGAAAGAGTGATAGGAAAGCATCGACAGAGGATTGCTTCTGATGTTTGGAGCATACTCATCACATCATAGTAATTCTGAACATGCTCGGAGGGGTCTCCCTCGCCCTTGTATGTCTCCACGCGAGGCATCTTGAACTTATCACATGGAACATTCATAAGGTCATCTAAAATGGGGTTGTTACTCCCGAAGATGCTTGCGATCAGTCTGTTGACTCGATCGTATCTAGATGCTCTAATTGTAGGACTCTCGCCGGTGAGTTCCTGATGATGAAGGAAACATCGGCGGTCACCGATGGGGTGCAAAATTTGCTTGTTGTGGCTATGGAAGTCGGCTGAGAAGCTCACTAGTGAAGATAACAAATTTCTCCTGGCAACAGGGCCGGGCCTGGGCTATGGCAGGGGGCGTAACCGCACAGGGCCCCGCTGAAAGGGGGCCCCAAAATTTCATAGGGTCCATTAGTTTATTAAATTTTGTATGACCCAAAATCTGGCCCAATAATATTTATAAGCTAAAACTTAGTCATTGAATTGAAATATTGAATTGCCTTATTAATTGCATTATTGTCGTTTAAGTTGCCAAGAAGCACGGGATTGATTTAATCAATCAAACTAACTAATCCCTCCTATAAGGCTATAATGCAAATCTGGAGAGTGGACTCCTCTTTTTTTGCAACAAATTTTATTCAGCCGTTTGACATGTAATTTTTTAACCGTTTGATATTTAATTTTTACTCCTAACATTAAATAATTATTAATCTCTCTCCACTATATAAAGGGATTATATTTCATAGGATAATCAAGAAAAGTTTGTCTATTAAACTTCTCCATCTAAAATTTGTTCTCAAAGATACATTGCAATTATTTCATTGGCTATTTGGGCATTGTCATACACTTAATCAGGTGCTATTATTCCTTTTCTTTTTACTAAGTTATTTGATTGTAATTGTTTCTGTTATTTGTCTTAAATCTCATAGAATTGTTTAGTTATTTATTTAAAGAAAATGGCGCCTCGAAAATATTTATGCAGAAATGAAAAAAGAAAAAAGAAAAAAACGAGTAGAAGAACTAATAGAGTCACAAAAAGGAGCCATTGATAGATTTTTATCAAAAAGTTCTAACATTCCTGTAGTTAGTGGATCAAATGAAAATTTAAGTGATGAACATATTGTTTCAAGTGAAGATGTTAATGAGCAGTTAGGTGATGATCATGATCTTGATGTTGATGATATTAGAGGCCAAGGTTATGATAACGGTTCTAACATGAAAGGTAAACATCAAGGTGTTCAGAAAAGATTACTTGAAATTAATCCGAGAGCATTATATATGCCATGTGCTAACCTAGTACTTGGAAAAATCTTGATAACAAAGATAGAGACATTTTAGTTGAGAAGGGAGTTGACAGAGAATTGAATATTGACTTTCCTTTAGACGGAGACCGTAGGCATTTTTCATATGCACATTATTCTAGAAAATTGAGTAATGGAGAAATAAGTGATCGAAAATGGTTGATTTACTCTAAACTCGTTGATAAAGTCTTTTGTTTTTGTTGTAAATTATTCAAATCTAATAGCAATACGACTTTATTGGCAAATGAAGGATTGAAAGATTGGAGTCATATTGGCAAGAGACTATCTGACCATGAAAATAGTATTGAGCATATGACTAATATGAGCTCTTGGAATGAGCTAAGATTAAGGTTGGGAAAAAATGAAACAATTGATAATGAGTTGCAAAAACAAATTATGATGGAAAAAGAACGATGGCGACAAGTTTTGATTAGAATAGTAGCCGTCATAAAATGTCTTGCTAAAAATCATTTGGCTTTTCGAGGATCTAATGAGAAGCTCTATCAAAATAATAATGGTAATTTTTTGGGAATTATTGAGTTGATCGCAGAATTTGATGTAATAATGCAAGATCATGTTAGACGAATTCAAAATCATGAAGTTCATTATCATTATCTTAGCCACAGAATACAAAATGAGTTGATTTCTCGTTTAGGCGTTAGTGTTAAAACTTCTATCATAAAGAGAATTAAAGAAGCAAAATATTTTTCTGTAATTCTTGATTGCACTCCAGATATAAGTCATCAAGAACAAATGGTCCTAGTTGTACGTTGTGTGAATATGTCCAGTAATCAAATAAAGATAGAAGAGTACTTCTTGGAATTTGTGAAGGTAGATGATACATCTGGACTGGGGCTCTTTAATGAATTGTTAAATGTATTAAAACTACTTGACCTTAATGTTGATGACATTAGAGGGCAAGGTTATGATAATGGTTCTAATATGAAAGGTAAACATCAAGGTGTTCAAAAAAGATTACTTGAAATTAATCCAAGAGCTTTATATATGCCATGTGCTTGTCATAGTCTCAATCTTACTCTTAGTGATATGGCACATTCTTGTGTTAAAGCTATCTCATTTTTTGGAGTTGTGCAACGTATATATTCATTATTTTCGAGTTCTACTAAGAGGTGGAAGATTTTAATTGATAATGTTCCTTCATTTACTGTGAATTTGAATTTTTACTTGGTATGATTATTTGGTATGATGTTTTGTTTGCTATTAACATGGTTAGCAAAAAAATTACAAAATAAAAATATGAATATTAACACTACTATGAATCAGGTGAGAGACGTGATGTTATATTTTGAAAATTTTAGAAATGATGGGTTTGAGAAGAGTTTGGATATTGCTAGAAGTGTTGCATTTGATATGAATGTGGATCCTACATTTCCAACAAAACGTCGTATCATTAGGAAAAAACAACCTGGTGAAACTGATCATGATGAAGAAATACAATCCACAGAGGAATCTTTTAGAGTTAATTATTTTTTAATTGTTGTGGATATGGCAATCAATTCATTAAAAGAGAGATTTGAACAACTAAAGACATTTGAAAGTATTTTTGGGTTTTTATGTGATTCAGATACTTTGAAGTCATTGGATGATAGTAAATTAAGAAATTGTTGCAATCATCTTGAAAGTGTTTTATCTCATAATGATTCATCTGATATTGATCTTAATGATATGTTTTCTGAATTAAGAGTGCTACAAAAAACTTTACCAGAAGTGTCAATGACAGCAATCCAAATTTTGGAATTTGTTAAGCAAGCTGATTGTTATCCAAATGTTTCAATTGCCTATCGAATCTTATTAACTGTGCCTGTATCTGTAGCAACAGCGGAGAGAAGTTTTTCAAAATTGAAGTTGGTCAAAACCTACTTGCGTTCAACAATGGCACAAGAAAGATTGAACAATTTGGCTATTCTAAGCATCGAGAATGAGATGTTACAAGACATAGACGTTGATTGTATTATTAATGACTTTGCATCAAATAATGCTCGAAGAAATTGTTTTAAGATAATTTTGTAATCTTATATTCATTTCATTTCAATAAAATATCTTTGTTATAAATAGACAGTTTATCAGTTAAGGGCCCCATTTTTTAATTTTGCCTAGGGCCCCAAAAATCTCAGGACCGGCCCTGTTATGATCTATGTTGCCATTAGAATTATATTGCCACATGGCCACGCTATATATATTTTATGATATTGATATTTAAAAATTTGACATTACATCTTATAATTATTTATATCAATTGTTCTTTTCTTTTTATCTATAGTGGTTTCCTAATCCTCTGCTATTCCAAATCAGTGAAGAAGCAGCCAAAAAGAAAATTTACATTGTCTCTTGTGAGTGATACTTTAGATTTGGATGCGAGATTGATGAAGAGAAATCTAACAAGCTTCACGGTGAGTGTTGCTTCAAATTATCAACCACAAACTACAACAGTTTATGGTTCTAAGTTGTCTTTTGCTTCCTACAGTCTAATTTATTATTTTAGAGAATAATTGATCTCTGTATTTTCATATTAATCAATATACATAGGGTCTGTATATGTATTACTCTTACAAGAGATGGAAACTATATGTTTAAATATCTAAGGATAGTATACTATCTGCATCTCTAAAAGTATTAACTAATATACAATAATTATCACTACATATAATATCTCTAATGCGCCCCACAAGCTAAGGGCGTGAAACGACTTGCAGCTAAGACCATAGGAACTCGAAGCGGGTCCACGCTAACGACTTGGTCATGATATCCGCAAGCTGATCCTTCGTTCTTATGAACTAGACTTGAAGGTCGTGACGAGCAGCCTTATCATGGATGAAGTGAAAGTCAATCTCAACATGCTTCGTCCGTGTGTGAAGAACCAAATTCGTGGATAGGTAAGTGGCCCCCAAATTGTCATATCAAAGCACCGGAGGAGCATGGAGAGGGATACTGATTCTTGAGAAGAGTGACTGAAGCCAAGTCAGTTCAGCCGATGTGTCCGCAAGAGCCTTGTACTTGGATTTGATGGAAGATCAGGAAAAGGTGTGTTGCTTGCGGCACATCCACGAGATGAGATTCGTATCAAGGAAGATCACAAAACCTCTCGTGGACTTACAATCATCAGGACATCTAGCCTAACGAAATCATAGAAGGCATGGAGATGATTAGTGGGTCCACATCGGAATGATAGGTCGTGATTGATTGTCCTTTCAGGTAACGAAGGATGCGTTTGACTGCCATCCAGTGGTCCTCTATTGGCTAATGCATAAACTGACAGACCTTATTGACTGTAAAGGACAGATCAGGTCAAGTAGAGTGATATACTGAAGGGCTCCCACAATCTATCTATATTAGGTCAGGTCGATGAATAGAGTACCAGAGAGTTTGGTGAGTACCATGGATGTAGAGAGGGGAGTGGTGACCGGTTTGGCATCAAAGTGGACCGCTTTCTGAAGGAGCTCAGAAATATATTTCTACTAAGAGAGAAGAAGACCTAAGGGCTGCAGGACCATCTCAGTGCCAAGGAAATAATGTAGAGGACCCAAATCCTTAATGGAGAAGTCAGTCGACAACGAGGTGATGAGAAGAGATATGAACGCCAAATCATTACTATCACAATAATATCATCCACATAGACAAGAAAAAATAATTGAATATCGCCTTTCGAGTAGAAAAAGAGTGAAGAGTCAGTATTGGACCCCGTAAATCTATTACTAACAAGTGCCTGAGAAAACCAATGAAACCAAGCTCAAGGGGCCTGTTTGAGGCCATATAGAGGCCAATGAAGTAGGAATACATGATCCGGAAGCGATAGATCTATGAAAATAGGTGGTTGAGGCATATAGATGCTCTCCATGAGATTGCCATGGAGAAATGCATTGTGAACATCGAGCTGGCAAATAGACCATCCATGAGACACGGACAAGGCAATGATAGTGCGGATTATCGTAGGCTAGATGATTGGACTAAAAGTCTCCTTGTAGTCCACTTCCAATTGTTGGTGGAATCCTTTAGCGACCAGTTGAGCCTTATATCACTCAATCAACCTATCTGCTCGCCTTTTGATCTTGAAGACCCACTTGCACCCAACTACATTCATGGTGATAGATGTCGTAACGAGAGACTAAGTGTCATTCCGAAGAAGGGAATTGAACTCATCAGCTGTAGTCTTGTGCCACTTAGCATCCTTTTTAGCAATGGTAAAGCATGTTGGTTCAAGAAGCGGTGTGTGCATTGTAGTAGTGCATGTGGATGTGAAAGGAGAAAATAGGACTCTAGGTTTCGGGTTAGGGCGCAGTTGCATAGTATGGGTTCTGAGAGGTGGTAGTGGGGTGACACTAGGGGAGATGACTGTAAAGATGAGGGAGGGGATGGAGATATAGGAGACAGATTGTCTAAGGGGGTACGTAGAGAAGGGGAAGACGAGGAAAGGATGGTACAGGGAGGAGGACAAACAATAAGACCAGGCTGAAGAGAGTAAGCGGGCAATGTTGAGTTTAGTGGAGGAGTATAAACAAGATGGGGAATGGTAAAGGGGGGTTCGGCTAAGGGTGCACTAAGGCTGAAAGAGGAGGGGCTCATGGTACGAAACGGGAACTGAAGCTTATCAAACCAAACATGCCTCACGATATAAAGCCATTGTGTGTGTACGTCTAGACATCGATAGCTATGATAGGTAGGACTATAACCTAGAAACATGCAAGGAGAGGATCGAAAATCCATCTTATGGAAGTTGTAGGGCCTTAGATATGGAATAGAGGTACCAAAGACCTTTAAAAATATATAATCTGGGGAGGAATGGAAGAGACACGAAAAAGGGTGTTGATTTGAGGATAATTTGGATGGCAAGCGACTACTGAGGTAGACATCACTTTCAAAGGCATAATGCCAATATTTCTGAGGGACAAAAGAATGAGCTAATAAAGAAAGGCCAGTTTCAACAATGTGACAGTTGCGACGTTCAACAACACCATTTTGTTCATCACCCAAGGTCAATGTAGGCTGTCTAAAAATTACTACGGATAGCTGATCCCCATAAAGCACTGATGATGAGAGTTATAATCTGACAACTTTCACATCGACTAATGAAAGTTACAATCTGACGTTTTCATGATAATAGATGATCGAAGTTATAATCTGACGACTTCCACATCAACAGACGAAAGTTATAATCTGACGACTTCCACATCAACAGACGAAGGTTACGATCTGATGACCTTCACAATAGTATATAAGAGTTACAAATTGACAACTCTCATATTTTAAAGAGCTGAATACAAAGATTACAAGATGATGATCCTTGCAATACTCAAGAAAAGAGATTACAAATTGACGATCTCTTCAAACCAAAAGGCGAGGGTTATCCCCGTATTTTAAGTTCAAAACACGGAGTTCACCTTCGCGTTTCAAGTTCAAAATGCGAAGCTCACTACCTTGTTTTAAGTTCAAAACACAGAGCTCACTACTACGTTCCATGCTTCAAATGCGAAGCTCAGCTCCATGTTTCATTAGTTAGACGCGAAGGTCATTTCCAGAACGCGAACCTCGCGTTTGACCCATTTAAACACATATTAAACGGTTCCAAAACTATTTTGCACATATTAAAGGGAATTAAACCCTCATTAAGGAGTGATTTATGGGGTCGGTTATACCCCTTAAACCCCTATAAATAGCTGAGAAGTCTGCTACAAAAGGATCTTTTAGAGGAGGGGGGTCAACTTGGAGGTTGGCACTCTTTTGGATCATCTTTGATTGGCTTTTGTTGAATCTTTTGAGAGCTTTTGGCTTGGCTTTCGAACCATCTTCGGTTGAGGAACTTTAAAATATGTTGTTTAGCTTATTTCAGATTAAAAAGGATCAAATCTTCTTTCTGAAATCAACTCTTTCACAGAGTTCTTAAACTCGTTTTAGAGTTCTAAACTTGCCTTGCAAGTTCTTCCTGATGTGAAGTCAAAAGTAGGCAACATTCCACGAAGCAAAGTGCTCGGTTCGTCAACGGGATACAAGATTCAAGCTCCCATCACCACCAAGAAGAGTCTAGTTTTAAACAAAGGGAATGATCTTCATCGATTCTTTCTCTCTTTTGTAAATCGGAAAATCAATAAAAAAAGTTATAATTTCTTTTTCTAAGTCAGTTAGAGAGAGATTATTGTGAGAGATTGTATTCATTCTTTTCCTAAGTCAGTTAGGAAGATTAATACAAATTCGTTTATTCTTATTTTTTCTTTAAATTTTTTCCCACAAACAAAAGATGGCGACTCCGCTGGGGATAAGCTTTTTCATTGATGAAGAAGTGGTGGCGTAATCCGACACCAACCTTGTTGGGACTACAGTCGAACTCTGACCGTGGAGTTAAGCTAAGTATGAGGAGTTACTCTCCTCCAGATCCCTTAGCCCTAAGTCTATGCGCAAGATGTGCAAAGTCTTTAAGGAGACTAAGGTTCCACCTATGACCAACTCACCAAAGGAGTGTCTCTCCCTTGAATTAGACTGTTTAGATAGTCCCTCCTCTGAAGGAGAAGACCTAGCTTTGACTAAACTCATTAATCGAGTTGAAGACTCTACACCCGTGCCCAAGCAACAGATATCAGATTACAAGAGACCCTTTGTTATGACTAACCTGATCAATACAGATGGTGATGTCACTGCAAAAGCCTTAAAATAGGTGAGGAAAAATATTGCTCATCAAAGAATAAGATCCCTACGACGCGCACAAGTCTGAGATAGCCGATCAACTGATCAACATGACATTCGCATTTCTACTACTGAATGCGAGCCTCGCGTTTCTAAACACGACCCTTGCGTCACCACTGAAGAACATAATATTCGTGTTTTGATCACAGAACGCGACCTTCGCGTTACCAAGCTTGAACGTGGAGGTAAACTTCGTATTGAACGCAAGTGTTAGCTCCGTGTAGCTCAACTAAAACGTGACCCTCGTGTTTCAATTGTTCAATGCGAACCTCATGTTCAGTTACCTAAACACAACCCTCATGTTTTAGTGTTAATACGTGACTCTTGCATGATGTGTC